ACAAGAGATCCGAATATCACTGGATTTCACAAAGAGTTGAGCTCACCAGGGTTCCAGGATTGATTGTACCATAATTACCGTATGGAAGGCTATTGTGACTAATCATGAGAAGTTGTCAAGACTTCTCGTAAAGGAAAAGGAAGCAATTATCTATGCTTCCATAATTTCCGTTTCTAGGCTTTCTAAATGGTTTCTTCAGAAACTACCAAAAAGGGTCTTCTGTAAGTTATTGTATTTCTAAGATAACAAACTCATCCCGCACAATAAAAAAAAGGTTCCATCCTTTTGTGAAAGTCAGCAGAAAAAAGAACAACAAGTGAACCGAGTGCGAGACTCAGTGCAACAGTGCCCTATTTTCCATTGCTGTTTCTTTCAGGAGCCATAAAGGCTTTTATGGAAATGGCAATTGTTATTGCTATCCAACAGGAGGAATCAGGCATGGATCCGACAGATGTTCGGATCAAGAAGAATGAAAATATCTTCTTCAGTTGGCATCAAGTGCCATTCGTTAACGGATGATCTGTTGGGCCTGAAATTTCGGCGGTAGTCTTTGGTGAGTGTTGTTAGCTTATATTAATTTTTTCAAATTTTTTGGTCGTTAAATTAACAATTTTCGTCTCGAACGACGCAGCGTCGTAACAACTTCCTGTCGAACAAAATCGTTGGAAGTTGATGGGTCTCCTGGAGTTGGTGGCCTCAAACATTGTTTCGCAAATCGTCTACTGGTCAGTGACTTCGTGCTATTGTGGATCTTCAAATTTTTCAAAGGAAAACTCCAACAAGTGAAAGGTGAGTTCAAACAAACAAAAAAAATTTTTTTTTCAGAAATAACATTTTCTTTGAAAATCTTCGCAGATGGCGTTCCTGAGGATCCTGGTGTTGCTGGTCGTTGGTGTTGCGGCTGCTGGGGTGGACTGTGGTCCCAAAGACTGAGTGTTCGTGTGTCGGGAAGTCTGCGGCAAGGAGGTGAGGGGCGCCGGCGGCTACAGGCGCCGTGTGACGTTCGTCGGGGCGACGCTGTTCTTGGACTGCGTCAGACAGGCGGATCTCAAGGTGAGTTTCGAGAAAAGTGGAACAAGTGCTAGTATGACAGCTAGTCTTGTTTGTAGGAGGTGAAGCTGCTGTCGCCGACGGTCTGCGTCGGGCGTCGGTCCTAGATGGATTGGGTAGTGACGCCGTGGAGGTGGTGCGAGGAGGTCGTGCCCCCCAAACCAGAGATCTCGACGGCGGCAGTTCCGCCGGTGGTTGGTGAGTTTGTTTCAGCTTTTCCACACAGACATAAAACATTACAACACAACTCACACACATAACATCTTAACACGTATCCAACACCTGACCAACACAAAGACAAAAAATTTTCCTTCACCATTTCTAATAAAAATTTTGTATATACAGATGAGCCTCGCCAGGTGGCGCCGACAGCCAATTTGGCAGTCGTCCACGTGCCGGCGAGCAAAACGCCGTTTGTGGTTTGGGCGCCGCCTTCGACGCAGCAAAGCGTTGTGGTGGCCCAAGAGGTGCCACACATCATCAGGGCGCCATCGTCGACACCGGAAGTGACGGTCAACATCAAGCATGGTGTTGCGCACGTCAAGGCAGACGTGGATCCTTGGACGGCAATGGTCCTAGTCTTCATGGGCCTTGGGGGAGCTGGAGCCACGTCTCTGGCTGTCTTTTTGGTTTGGCTGGTCAAGTTCATAAGGAACAAGGTTAGCCAATTTTTTCTTTTGTTTTAATAAAAAATGATTAACAATGCTTTTGCTTTTCATGCTTGCTTTGCTTTTCTGTGCATGCCTTTTAAAAATAGAGAAAGAAAAGAATTCTAAAGCTGGATAAAACTAAAGTTAAAGAATGCATAGTAGGGTCTATGCCCAACATATTTTTTAATGGCCTAGATTCTTCTGATGAGGAATTTGAAGTTTTTTCTCAGAACTATGCAGATATCAGGGCTAGATCCCCAAGAGTATTAACATTTAGACAAGGTAAACCAATAGCATATAAATACAAAACAACGCATGCAATAATTTTTGATGCTTTGCTTGGGGCTTTTTCTTTTTGTCTTTTCTGTACAGTCATCGTACATGCGGGAGTTGGTGCGGATGCTGATGCCGGAGGATCAGCAGGATCCGGAAGCCCAACCAGTGGTGGATCTGCTGGGGCTGGAAGAGATGGATAAACCCGTCGAGAACTTTGAGAAGGAGGAAATGGTCCTTGAGGACACTAATCCGTTTAAAGAGATGTTGAACGCGTAATATGTAAATATCGCGTCAAAAAAAGAGAGTGCCATTTTTCGTACCCACGTTTTTATATGGGTAAAAAGGCAATAAGAGAAATTGTAAAAAGAATTTCTGGCCTCTGATTCTCTTTTTTGTTTGTCTTTTCCAGCCAAATTTCTTTTCAGAAAGTGATCAGCGAATGGACAA